GTAGAGCTCTAGCCAGTGACAGGAGAGTTTTGTTTAAACAAAGGATTATTTTGTAGACATGTGAAACAGTGATATTTCTGAACAATTTCTCAGAGTGGAGCTTAATTAATCTGAGTTATATGACCAGATACGTAAAATTTAACACAGAGCAAGGTGAAACTTACCATCTCCTTTTCAAGTTCACTGCCTTAGCAGTGGTACATTGCTGAGTGGGTTTGAAGTAGAGCATTAATCACCTTTTGGGTTACCAATTGTTTTTTTCCATCTTTAGTGTTTTGCCTTTCTGACCCTGGCTAATTTGAGTTGTATTTACTAATGTGATTGTGTAGTTTCCCCATCTTAGGGGAACATTTGCTTTTGTTTCAATATCTCAGCTGTGCTCCTGTTCTTTCCTCCATCTATACATTTTCTAAGAAGTGTAACTTCACCATAGGAATGAAGCGTTAGTTAACTCTCTCATACTTCTAGAGGCTTTTCAATTTCTTTGACTCCTTGTAATCCATAAGTACCCCTTTGCAGTGCATCCACATAAGATATAGTTCTGAACTCTGGAGTACTGTTTGTGGCTGACTTTACAGCCATGTAGCTCTGTGTCAGGTGAACTTGATCTGGCACCATTTAATAATTTCTAAGCCATTTTGGGGGTTTGATGGTGGTGGAAGGAAGTACAGTAACTTTATACATGCTAAAAATGAACATTAACAATTATAAAAAGCAATAATCAAATAATAATACCCATATTTGGTGTGTGTGTGTATGCTGATGCCCAGGCATTGTTTTAGCAGAAGAGAAGTGTTTCATTTCTGGCTGCATTTTCTCCCAGTAGCCAGAGTGAAAGTAAACAAATGTGGGAGTACAACTTAGCTTTCAGGATGATATGTTCATGGTTTTATCCTGTTTTAATTGTTTTAAAATGAGTCTCACTCAGTATTGTGAAAAAATCCAAGTTTCTCTGTTGAACTCATTCTAAGGATATTTCTTGGGGATATGGGGGCATGTATGTTGCTACTACATCCCAAATGGTGCTCTGAAGTTCTGAGACCCTTCTTGGCATTTCCTGGACAGCTGGACATGAAGTTCATTTCAGGATGCTGCTTGGGCCCTGAGAGTTTGGCCAGGCAACTCTGTTGGTTGTCAAGGGCCTCGAGACCAGAATTTACAGGTCCCAGGGATGAAGCTGGAAATGGTTGGGAGACTTTGTGATGTCAGGGATCAAACCAAGTTTGCTTTCATGCAGGCTTGCACCTTAATCCAGGTACTGTACCCTAAACCCTATTCTAAGAATCCTTAGATTTATTTATATGATTTAAATCATAGTTTTAATTATTCAAAGTACCCTTCCCCCCTAACTTCTGAAAGTCTTATATACTGATTGGTAAAGCTAGAACATATTGAAAATTATATGAAAGACAAAAAAGATCTATAAATCACCTAGATAATTGCTGTTAACGGAACTTTTATTTCTAACTAGTCTTCCATATTTTTGCACTTTGTATCTTTAAAGTGTTTAAAGAGAGACGCCTGCAGGAAAGTAGCTCTGAGACTCTGTCTTTCCCTATTCACCACTCACACAGCACTGATCTTGTCCCAAACCCAGCAACATGAAGAAACAACGCAAATCCCCACCACATGGGGAGGACAACAAAAAGAATGCAGAAGAATCTGTCGATACTGTTTACCTAAGGGACCTCTCAGACAAAAAATTCAGATACGAAGTCATGAAAATGTTCAATCAACTCAATCAGACAGTTATACAGATATCCAGTAACATGACAGAAAAAATTGACAAATTACGCGAGGAAATGAGAGCAGAAATGTCACGAATAAAAGATTCTGTAGATGAAATGAAAAACTCAGTCTCTTCTCTCAACAATAGAATGACCGCAGCTGAAGAGAGAATCAGTGAGCTGGAAGATCAGCTGCACCAAGCCAACAGGCAACAACACATAGTTGCAAGGCACCTCAAATTAGCTCTACAGAGAATCAGAGTCCTAGGACATGATTCCAAGAGGAACAACATTAGAATCATTGGACTACCAGAAGCTCAGGGAAACAATCCAGATGAAAAAAACACGGTGAAACAAATCATTGCTGAAGTATTCCCAGAGCTCCACAATGCAGTCATTCAGGTTAAAGGAGCCCGAAGGGTACCAGATAAAAGAGACCCTAACAAAAACACTCCAAGACACATCATAGTTAGAATGATTGATGCTCCTGATAGAGATACAATACTGCAAACAGCAAGGTCAAAGAAGAAAATCACATACAATGGAGTACCCCTTAGATTCACAGCAGATCCATAAGAGGAAACCCCCCAAGCCCTAAGGCAGTGGCAAGATATAGTGAAAAATCTCACTGAAATGAATGCTTCACCAAGAATACTCTATCCAGCTAAACTCTCACTCAAAATTCAAGGAGTGGTACAGTATATTCTAGACAAACAGCAGCTCAGGATCTTCATAGACTCAAAACCAAACCTAAAATAAGGGCTAAAGGGGGTACTATAATACAAAACAAACCCTACAACCACAACACACCCTTACAGAAAGATGACACAAAAGTCCATAACAATAATCTCTCTCAATGTCAACGGTCTAAATTCACCACTTAAGAGACACAGAGTGGCAAAATGGATTCAGAGACAGAACCCAACATTCTGCTGCCTACAAGAAACTCATCTCAACAGCAAGAGCAAACACAGACTCAAAGTCAAAGGATGGAAAACAATCCTACAAGCAAACAGCTACCTCAGAAAAGCTGGGGTGGCCATACTAGTATCCAATAGCATTAATTTTGCATTGAAAAAGATTAGAAGAGACAATGAAGGTTATTTTCTCTTCATGAAGGGACACGGACAATAGGAAGAAATCACACTCTTAAATGTATATGCACCTAATGAGGGAACAGCTAAATATTTAAAACAACTGCTAACAGATTTTAAGGAGGACATTTCTAGCAACACAATAGTAGCTGGAATTTCAACATCATCTTATCACCTCTGGATAGATCAACAATAACAAAACTCAGCAAGGAAACGTTGGCTTTGAAAGAAGAAATAGAAGAGAGAGGGTGTATAGACCTGCACAGAGCTTTCCACCCAAATAAGAGAAATACTCATTCTTCTCCAGTGCGCATGGAACATTTTCCAAAATAGACCATGTCCTAGGCCACAAAACATACCTAAATAGAATCAGGAAGATAGAAATAGTATCAACAATCTTTTCAGACCAAGATGCTCTGAGAATAGGAGTGAATCATACACAGATATGGAGAAACAAATCAAACACCTGGAAATTAAAAAACTCAATGCTTAAAAACGAGTGGATCAGGAGGGAAGTCAAGGATGAAATCAAAAGATACTTGGAAACAAATGAGAATGAAGACACGAGCTACCAAAAATTATGGGATGCAGCAAAAACCGTTTGAAGGGGAAAATTTATAGCTCTGTAAGCATATCTCAGGATAGAAGAAAGGATGCACTTAAACAACCTGACTTCACAGCTCAAGATCTTAGAAAGGGTCAACAGAAGGAGCACAAATTGTGTAGAAGGAAAGAGACTATAAAACTTGGAGCAGAAATCAAAGACGTGGAAACCCCCCAAAAAAAATACCAATTCGAAAGATCAATGAAACCAAGAGCTGGTTATTCGAGAAAATAAATAAGATAGATAAACCACTAGCAACACTCACAAAGAAACAGAGAGAGAACCCCAATAAATCGAATCAGAAATAAGTATGGGGATATCACAAACAAAGAACCAAAGAAATTCAAAAGATCATCAGAGACTACTTTGAAAGTCTGTATGCCACGAAACAAGAGAACCTAGAAGAAATGGATAAATTCCTGGATTCCTATTGAAAGAATCCATGCTAGGGCATCAAATTTTTGTGTGCCTCAGCTAACTTGCAACATTGCTTTCTGTAAAACTGCTTGTGCTTCAGCTAACTTGCAACATTGCTTTCTCTAAAACTGCTTGTGCTTCAGCTAACTTGCAACATTGTTTTCTGTAAAACTGCTTGGCTACTCTTGTGACAGGATTCAGGTGTATTTACTGTTCCTGGAATGTATTGTCTCACTAAAGCACCCTGCAGTCTTGGGTAAAGGACAACTCAGGATGTGGGTGGTTGGGGGAAATTGCCCGATCCTGGAATGGATTGTCTCACTAAAGCACCCTGCAGACTTGGGTAAAGGATAGCTCAGGATGCGGGTGGTTGGGGGAAATTGCCCATTCCTGGCAATTCTCACTAAAGGCTTAATGATTCCGGCTATAACCTTGCTTGCACCACTGACAATCAATGTATGTAACTACTGACTTTTGAATCTATGATCCTTGGAATGCGCAGGTTTTGTTGTAATGGTTGATGAGAGCCTATATAAGACCCCCTTTGAAGAAGCTCGGGGCTCTCAGCCACTGCCCGATTTTGGGGTATGCTGCGGAGCCCCAGCATGCTGGTCTAAATAAACCCCGTTTTTACTCCTGCAGGAATTGTGTCTATCTGGTCTCTCCGCGCCTCCCAGGGCTAGGGAACTCCTGATCCCAACATTTGGAGGTTCCACCGAGATCACCGAGGACCCTGCCCCAGGGACGCCGGATTGAGCCGCGGGGTAAGTTAAGGCGCCTCTTTCTTTCTCTTTGTTTCTCCGGTACCATTTTAACCGATCGGTGGCACAAGCACAGTGGTGTGCAGCACAGTGACAGTGGTGTGCAGCACACTGTTGTGTGTGTGAGCCTTGTGTCTGACAGACGTGTCGGGAATAGACACGAGCCGCAGCCCTGGGGGACGCCCCGGAGGTGGATGAGGGCCAGGGACGCCTGGAGGCCTCTTTTGTGGTAGCCTCGGAGAGGCTGCATCTGGTGTGCCAAAGAAGAAATCATCGGCCGCTCTATTACTTCTCTATTCTTCTTTCCTCTCCAAAAGGCCTTGCGCTTGCGTCATTCTTTTTCGTAGGTTGGATCACGCTTGTCCTTTTTCTCTACCGAGACACCGTCTTTGGAACCATGGGACAATCTCTGTCTACTCCCCTCTCACTCACCCTCTTCCACTGGTCAGAGGTCCACTCTCGTGCTCGGAATCTTTCTCTGATTATTAAAAAGGCCAAATGGCAGACCTTTTGTTCCGCAGAGTGGCCAACATTCCAGGTTGGCTGGCCCTCTGAGGGATCCTTTCACCTACCAACAGTTCTCCAGGTCAAGGGAGCCATCTACCGGCCAGCCCCTCGAGGACACCCGGACCAGGAGCCTTACATTTTGGTCTGGCAAGATCTATGCGAACATCCCCCTCCCTGGGTCAAGTCCTTTCAGGTTCCTCTGGCGGCACTGACCCCTCTCCCTACCACTCCACCCCCAGCTCTCACCCTTCCGGCCCATGTTGACAACTCTAAACCTCTCCTCCCAGAGTCCCAGGACCTCCTTCTTTTTGATGAACCGCTGCCCTACCTGCAATTGCCAGCACCTGCTACTCAGTCTTCTCTTCCCCCTATACCTCTGCCTCCCACTCTAAGTTCCCCTGACACCTCTGCTCCGCCCCTGAACCCTGAGTTCTCTAATGCCTCCCCCGGGCCAGCATTCAGAACCAGAAGGCGGGAGGCCCGGGCGGGAGAAGGGCCCCCCACTGAGGCCGAGGCAGTTATCCTCCCCTTACGAGCCTACGGCACAGAAATCCCCGATGGGCAGGGAGGTCGGATGCCTTACCTTCAGTATTGGCCTTTCTCCACTTCCGATCTCTTTAATTGGAAGAACTTTAACCCTCCTTTTTCGGAAGACCCCACCCGATTGACTGACCTCATCATCTCTGTCATGAATTCACATAGCCCCACTTGGGACGATTGTCAGCAGCTCCTCACTGCTCTGCTAACTACAGCAGAGAAGGAAGCCGTCCTTACCAACGCTCGCAAACATGTGCCGGGACCCGACGGGCAACCCACCATACTGCAGAACCTCATTGACGAATACTCCCCCTTGAAACGACCTGAGTGGAACCCTAATTCACCGGAAGGTAGGAGACATCTCCAAATTTATCGCCAGACTCTAGCTGCGGGTCTCCGGGAAGCAGGGCGAAAGCCTACCAATTTGGCCAAGGTAAGAGGAGTGATACAGGGACCAGACGAGAGCCCCTCCTTATTTCTAGAAAGGCTGTTTGAAGCTTACCGACAGTATAATCCCTTTGACCCTACGTCAGAGGAGCATCAGGCCTCAGTAGCCATGGCCTTTATAGGTCAGTCTGCTACTGATATCAGAAGAAAGTTGCAAAGAATGGAGGGATTACAGGATATGTCTCTTCGGGACTTAGTGACAGAGGCTAACAAGGTCTTTAATAAAAGGGAAACGCAAGAGGAGAAGGAGGAAAGAAGAGAGAGAGAGAGAGAGAGAGAGAGAGAGAGAGAGAGAGAGAGAGAGAGGAAGAGGAGAAAGAACGAGACAGAAGAAGGAGCAGGGAAATGACTAAGGTCCTGGCCGCTGTGGTAGTACAGGATAGGGCATTTCAGGGAGATAGTAGAGGAAACCTGGGCCCGCGCACGGGAAATAAGCCTAAACTGGCCTCAGACCAATGCGCCTTTTGTAGAGAGAGAGGTCACTGGGCCAAGGATTGCCCCAAGAAGAAGAAGAACAGAGGTACGCGCCTGGGCCCTCTTCCCACTGAGGTGCTGGCACTGGATGAGGACTAGGGGGGACGGGGCTCGGACCCTCTCCCCGAGCTCAGGGTAAACTTTAAGGTGGAGGGGACTCCTATAAACTTTGAGATAGACACTGGCGCGGTCCATTCTGTTCTCCAACAACCACTGGGACCTCTTTCACACAAGCGCGCCCTAGTGAGGGGAGCAAACGGGAGCCGATTCCGACCATGGACTACTCAGAGAACAGTGGACTTGGGAAATGGAAGGGTCCACCATTCATTCTTGGTCTTACCCGACTGTCCTGCCCCACTATTGGGACGGGACCTGTTAACTAAATTACGGGCAAGAATTACCTTTACTGAATCAGGCCCTCTGGTCGAGTTCCTCAATCCAATTGTGAGGGCTGCAGAAGGAACCACCCCACCGGTACTAAAGACCCTGACTCTAAGCTTAGATGATGAATATAAACTTTTTGAGGAACCTTTAGAAAAGACCCAAGGTGTCGAGGACTGGATACAAGAGTTTCCGGAGGCCTGGGCAGAAACAGCGGGGTTAGGGCTGGCCACAGCCCAACCACCCATAGTAGTCTCATTAAAAACTTCGGCCACACCTGTTCAGGTTAAACAGTATCCTATGAGCTTAGAAGCCAAGGAAGGCATAAAGCCCCACATAATCAAATTACTGCAACTAGGGGTGTTGAAGCCTTGTAGGTCCCCATGGAACACGCCACTGCTTCCTGTTCGGAAACCTGGCACCAATGACTATCGCCCAGTCCAAGACCTGCGGGAAGTAAATGCCCGAGTAGAGATTGTTCATCCCACGGTGCCCAACCCCTATAATTTACTAAGCACCCTCAGCCCCACCAGGACTTGGTATTCTGTATTGGACCTTAAGGATGCCTTCTTTTGTCTACGACTACACCCAGATAGCCAGCCCCTGTTTGCCTTTGAATGGAGCGACCCTGATATGGGAATCTCGGGGCAGCTGACTTGGACCAGGCTTCCACAGGGCTTCCGGAACTCCCCTACACTGTTTGATGAGGCCCTGCACAAGGACCTACAGTCTTTCCGTGCCACTCATAAGACTTTAACATTGCTCCAGTATGTGGATGATCTTTTACTAGCAGCTGAAACCCAAGGCGAGTGCGAAAAAGGAACCAAGGCCCTCCTGAAGACCCTTGCCTCCCTGGGATACTGAGCCTCAGCAAAGAAAGCGCAGCTCTGCAGGAATGAGGTAATATTCCTGGGCTACAAGATTAAGGGCGGGAAGCGTTGGCTCACGGAGGCCCGGAAAAGGACTGTGACCCAGATACCCCCGCCACAAACACGGAAGGAATTGAGGGAGTTCCTGGGAACGGCCGGGTTCTGTCGTCTCTGGATCCCCGGCTTTGCCAACTTGGCAGCTCCCCTATATCCCCTGACTAAAAAAGACACTCCTTATGAGTGGGGGAGAGAACAACAAGAGGCCTTTGATAAACTCAAGCAGGCCCTTCTCAGTGCTCCGGCGCTCGCCTTACCTGATGTTAGCAAGCCCTTTACTCTGTATATAGAAGAGAAAGGCGGAGTGGCAAGAGGAGTGCTGACCCAAACCTTGGGACCATGGAAACGCCCTGTTGCCTATCTATCTAAGAGACTAGATGCGGTAGCCGCGGGATGGCCACGATGCCTCAAGGTTATTGCCGCGGCGGCTCTCCTGCTCAAAGATGCTGACAAGCTCACGCTAGGGCAAAAAGTGACTCTGGTTGCTCCACACACCCTCGAGAGTGTGATTAGGCAGCCCCCTGACCGATGGCTCTCTAATGCTCGCATCACTCACTATCAAAGCCTCCTGCTAGATAAGGAACGGGTCTTCTTCGGCAATCCGGCTACTCTTAACCCTGCCACTCTACTCCCCGTGGAGGATGGGCAAGATGTTCTTCACTCATGCCAAGAAATCTTGGCTGAGGAGACTGGGGTCCGGTCTGACCTAAAAGACTCGCCCCTGCCGCAGGCAGATTACACTTTCTTTACCGATGGCAGCAGTTTTCTCCAGCAAGGGGAGAGGAGAGCCGGGGCAGCCGTGGTGGGAACCACAGGGAAGATCTGGACAGCACCTCTGCCACCAGGAACATCAGCGCAAAAAGCAGAACTCATAGCCCTGACCAAGGCACTGGAGCTCGCGAAAGGTAAAAGGGTGAACATTTACACGGACAGTCGCTATGCTTTTGCTACGGCCCATGTGCATGGCGCCATCTGCCGGCAGCGAGGCCTTCTGACCTCCGCCGGCAAGGACATCAAGAACAAAGCCGAGATCCTTAATCTCCTTGAAGCTGTCCATTTACCGCGGGCCCTGGCTATCATACACTGTCCTGGACACCAGAAGGGGGACGATCCCATAGCGGTCGGGAACCGGCTGGCAGATGAAGAAGCGCGGGCGGCCGCTCTCCAGGAGATCCCAGCAGCAGATATCCTGACAACTACCCTGCCGCAAGCTGGAGAACATGATGAGGCCGAAAGTAAGGTAACTGAGTTCCTTCTATTCACCCATCGCCTGACCCACTTAGGAACCAGAGTGCTACTGGAACTATTAAAGGATCAAGAGCTACCCACCCTTGCCCCAGGGCGGGCAAAAGAACTAGCTCGAGACATTGTCGCTTCCTGTGAAGCCTGTGCGTTGGTGAATGCCCGAAGGACTGAGGGAACGCAGGGCGAACGTCTGCGAGGAGACCGCCCTGGCACATACTGGGAAGTGGACTTTACTGAAGTATCTCCTGCCAGGTATGGAAATAAGTATCTGCTAGTTTTCATAGATACCTTTTCAGGGTGGCCTGAAGCCTTCCCCACGAAGAAGGAAACCGCCCTGGTGGTGGCCCAAAAGCTCCTCGAAGAAATCTTTCCCCGCTTCGGACTTCCTAAGGTAATAGGTTCCGACAACGGTCCCGCTTTCGTGGCCCAGGTAAGTCAGGGACTGGCCAGGACTTTGGGGTTTGATTGGAAATTACATTGTGCCTATAGGCCCCAGAGCTCAGGACAGGTAGAGAGAATGAATAGAACAATTAAGGAGACCTTAACAAAATTAGCATTAGAGACTGGCGTTAAAGATTGGACGATGCTCTTACCCTACGCTCTCTTCCGCGCTCGAAATACACCTTCCCTTTCTCGTAACAATCTCACCCCTTATGAGATACTCTACGGGGGGCCCCACCTCTTAAAACCATGACTGAGCACGGACTGGGAGTGTTACCTGAAACCTCGGCTCAGCTAATGCCCAGGCTTAAAGCGTTAGAGGCTATTCAGCGCCACATATGGAAGGGACTTTCTGATCAGTATCGCCCAGGCTCTGTCTCCCCCCACCCCTATTCTGTAGGCGATTGGGTGTACGTGAGAAGGCATCAAGCCCGGAATCTTGAACCCAGGTGGAAAGGACCCTATCTTGTCCTCCTCACCACCCCTACCGCAGTCAAGGTTGACGGGATTTCTACGTGGATCCACAGCAGCCATCTCAAGCCTGCCCCTGCCCTTGATGCCAGATCTTCAGCCCATCCAAGTCCCGCTGACCAATGGATCGTGCGGCGTCACCCTTCGGATCCCCTCAAGCTCTGGTTGGCGCGAGGTGCTTCTGGACACGGGAGCGGCGCACTCAATCATTCCTCCAGTTCCTGATGATCCTGCTCGCCGTCACCCCCCAGGCACAACCCGCGGACAACCCTCACCAACCGTTCAAGCAGACTTGGGTCATCCGAAGCGGAGAAAACTATGAAGTTTGGAACACCACGGTCTGTAATGCTACGCCCCTTAATCAATGTTTTCCTGATCTGTATTTCTCATTAGAAGATGCGTTGCCGTATTTTAAGGGTGCGAGAAACAAACCACAGGCTAGAGTCTCTATAAGGTGCAACGGGTTCTTTACATGCCCAGGGTTCAGACCCAGGGAATGGAGGAACACATGTGGTGGGCCAGAATCTTATTACTGTGCTGTCTGGGATTGTGTAGACTCTAATGATGGCTACTGGAAGTGGGCAGTGACTCCTGACCTCATTAAGGTCCAGTTTGCGGTGCCCGTGCGCTACACTCCGCAGGGTGCCCAATATCATAATAATATGATCCAGGTCAAGATTTCTTTTACCGACCAAGGGAAAAGAGAGGGGCGCTGGGTAAATGGCCTTAATTGGGGTTTGATGCTATATACTAGACCGTGGCACGGCATCATCCTCCAAATCCTCCTTAGGATAGAGCCTGTACAAGAAACAATTGGGCCTAACCGGGCCCTTGAGACCCGCCAGCCCGCAGTAGACTACGGAGCCCCTGCTATATCACCTCATGCAGCTGTCCCCAGTCCTCCCCAAACTCAGGTTCCGCCTACCTATACCCCCAGTCCATCCCATAACCCTCTCAGAGATCTCATACTAGCCGCTTATCGGGCCTTAAATACCACAGCCCCTAACCTGACCGAGGCCTGCTGGCTCTGTTACAGCCCTGCCCCACCCTTTTATGAGGCTATTGGTGTTAATGCCTCATACAACATCAGCTGCACAGCACCTTCCGGCTGGGTTCCCCGCGCCCGCCAAGGTTTAACTATAACCCAGATCAGCGGTCAAGGGACTTGTGTAGGCACAGTCCCACGAGGAAAACAGATGCTGTGTGCTCAGATCATAGCCAGCCCGGGATGGAATAGCTCTGTCTGGATATCGCCAGTCACCGGGGCCTGGTGGGCGTGTTCTCTTTCCGGGCTCACCCCACACCTGGCAGGATCAGTTTTCAATGCTGCCCTAGAATTCTGCCTCATGGTAATTGTGGTACCCAGGATCATATACCACACCGCTGAGACCCCCATTGATTATTGGTTCAGCCCACCTGAAAGACCACTCCGGACTCGAAGGGAGCCTATCTCCACCTTTACTATCGCCACCCTGGTCGGGGTAGGTCTGGCAGGGGCTGGCACGGGAATTGCCTCCCTGGCCACCCAGCACTCGGGTCTCTCCTCCCTCAGAGCAGCCATAGATGAGGACCTAGATCGCATAGAAAAATCTATTAGCCACCTAGAGAAATCCCTAACCTCTTTGTCAGAGGTAGTTCTCCAAAACCTGAGAGGGCTAGATTTGTTACTTCAAGAATGGTGGGCTCTGTGCGGCCCTGGGGGAAGAATGTTGTTTTTACGCAGACCACACGGGGGTGGTTAGGGACTCCATGGCAAAACTTCGTGAAGGCCTCGAACAGCGTAGAAGGGAAAGGGAAGCTAGGGAAGGCTGGTTTGAGTCATGGTTCAATCAGTCCCCATGGCTAGCCACTCTCCTCTCGGCCTTGGCTGGCCCCCTCCTGATCCTTTTAATCATGATGACCCTGGGGCCCTACATCTTGAATCGGCTGGTGAATTTTGTTAGAGAACGCATCAATTCTGTTCACCTCCTGGTTCTGAGGCAGCAGTATCAAGCTCTGTCACCCACTGAGGAAAGCCACTCTCAACCATAGGTCCTTGAATAAGGCCCCAAACTCCCCTCAATCTCTAGGATTAGAGATGCTCATTGAAAGAAGTGGGGAATGAAAGAATCCATGCTAGGGCATCAAATTTTTGTGTGCCTCAGCTAACTTGCAACATTGCTTTCTGTAAAACTGCTTGTGCTTCAGCTAACTTGCAACATTGCTTTCTGTAAAACTGCTTGTGCTTCAGCTAACTTGTAACATTGTTTTCTGTAAAACTGCTTGGCTCCTCTCTGACAGGATTCAGGTGTATTTACTGTTCCTGGAATGTATTGTCTCACTAAAGCACCCTGCAGACTTGGGTAAAGGACAACTCAGGATGTGGGTGGTTGGGGGAAATTGCCCGATCCTGGAATGGATTGTCTCACTAAAGCACCCCGCAGACTTGGGTAAAGGATAGCTCAGGATGCAGGATGCGGGTGGTTGGGGAAAATTGCCCATTCCTGGAACGTATTGTCTCACTAAAGGCTTAATGATTCCGGCTATAACCTTGCTTGCACCACTGACAATTGATGTATGTAACTACTGACTTTTGAATCTATGATCCTTGGAATGCGCAGGTTTTGTTGTAACGGTTGATGAGAGCCTATATAAGACCCCCTTTGAAGAAGCTCGGGGCTCTCAGCCACTGCCCGATTTTGGGGTATGCTGCGGAGCCCCAGCATGCTGGTCTAAATAAACCCCGTTTTTACTCCTGCAGGAATTGTGTCTATCTGGTCTCTCCGCGCCTCCCAGGGCTAGGGAACTCCCGATCCCAACAGAGAGAAAACCCTGTTTCGGTAACTTGCTTTTTGTAAGAATCAGATTCTAATTCTACAGAGGTGATTGCTAACTCCTGGACCAATGCAGTGGAATATTATTAAAGGGTCATGCTTTAACACTAGTGAAAACCATCTTCCATGGGAAGGGACCGAATAGCAAGTAAGGTAGAAGTAACTCGGAACTGTGCTTTCTGTGCCATTAATGAACCTAGAGGAAATCTTGATCCTCCTCCTAACACCTGTTCAGCATCAAGGAACTTATAGGTGGATCGGCAGCTTGACCTCATGCAAATGATCAAATGCTCATATGTTCAAGGTATAAATATCTGTTAGTTCTTATTGATAGCTTCAGTGTATGGGCAGAAGTTTTTCCAATCTGTACTGAGAACGCCAGAGAATGGCTTGGTGTTTCTGTGTCCAGTAGAAAAATCTGGACACAGGAAGTCATTTTTCAATCAACCAAATCTGTTTGTAGAGTTAATCCTTTTCATTGTTTTAATGATAGAGATGGGTATGGCATTATGTTGCTTTGGTTTCTGTTGCTTTAACTCTTGTTTTTTAAGACAGCAAACAACATTGTCCTCACTGGGTCAGAAAGGAACTTCTAATCCTCCAGTGTCTAACCATTTCAAAGTGATATCCCTCAGTCTAATCCATCTGATCTTTTCTTTCAGATAACTTTAGGAACCCAACCAATTCATTACCTGGGGCCCATTATAAACTAAGGTAGTTTGAGATTTCCCCCCTTTCACAGGCAGGGTCTGCGCCCCTTGTCAGCATGAAGCAGCTTCAGAAGATAGACCACCAACCAATTTCCGCTTAAAGATTTAAGGTGGTGAAATCTCTAGGGGGGATATGATGTAGGCAGGTAGACAGGGAGGGCCCCCTCCCGAGGCAACGACAAAAGCCAGCCCTGCAGAAAATAGGAAAACAGGAACTAAGTCTTGATAAGACCCTCACCTGGCTCCAGCAACAGACCCAAAGAAGCTCCTGCAGGAACAAAAGGCCAGGAAAGGAATTTCAAAGAAGACCATCACCACACCCATCCTCCCTGGCAACCTCCTTAGCAACGGACATTTACCTGGGAAGAAGCCCCACTTGGGGGCAGGTTGGAGAAACCCTATAAAGGCCACCTTGAACAAAGGAAGGGCATGCATATGCTGCTGAGCCCACGTGCTGCTTGCACCCACGTGGCCAAGCACATATGGTTCCCGAGCACATGTGTCGCCCGCATCTCCCCTCTTGAGATGTGTACTTTCATGCTTTCGTGTCTAACTTTACTCTCTCACTCTCTCTCCCTCCCTCCATACCTAAAAATCCTCCAAATAAAATCTATTTACTTCAAAAAAAAAAAACCAATCTTAAAAGAAAGACTAAAGTGGCTACTGTAAGACAAGACTTATCCCTACATGCACAAAAAACCTCTACAGAAAGATGGCACAAAACCCAATACAATAATCTCTCTCAATGTCAATTAAGAGACAGAGTGGCAAAATGAATATAAAAAACTGAACTCAAATTTCTGATGCCTACAGGAAACATATCTGAACAACCAGAGAAAACACAGACTCAGAGTCAAATCATGGAAAACAATCCTTCAAGCAAATAACTCCCTCAAAAAAGCCAGGGTGGCCATACTCATATCTGACAACATAGATTTCAATCGGAAAAATATTTTGGGGGACAACAATGGCCCTTTAAAAAAAATAATTTAGGCATATGTACAGCAGGAAGAAATCACAATCCTAAACATATACATACCTAATGAGGGACCACCAAAACACTTAAAATTAAGACAACTCTAAGAAACTTCAAGGAGGATATTGGTAGCAACTCAATAGTAGTTAGAGACTTCAACACCATCTTATCACCTCTGTTCAACAAGATTAAAACTCAGAAGGAAGAAATGGAAGAATGGCTTTGAAGGAAGAATGGCTTTGAAGGAAGAAATGGAAGAGAGAGGGCTAATAGATGTATACAGGCCTTTCCATCCCCCAAAATGTGAATACACATTGTTTTCCAGTGCACATGGAACATTTTCCAAGATAGACCAGGTGCTGGGTCACAAAACATACGTCAATAGAATCAGGAAGATAGAAATTGTATCCACTATCTTTTCACACCTCGATGCACTGAAGTCTTACAGCAAACCCTCAGAAAGTTGTGTGGACACAAAATCATACACAGCATGGGGCTGGGAGAACTGTCTGGAGATATTGCCTGGACATAAGGATCTTGGGTCAGAGAGATTGTTGGGACAAAGAGCTGAGCACATGGTCTGCATGCAAAAGTAAAAGGTCACTATCCAACACTGCATTTTCCCTTAGTGCTGAAGGATTGACATCCTCACCCCCACAGTCAGAAGCTTCCCTAAACACCACTTGGTGTGGCCCAAACACACAGAGAAACACATACAGAGAAATG